CAGTATGATGTTGCAGGAAGTGGACTTCTGGAGAGAAGTATGTGTCTGGTGTTCGTCTGGCACCTGGTGGTTGTCCACGTTCCCCAGGGTGGAGAGGACCCTGCCCATAAGGTGAGGCAACTGACCTTCAGCTGACGCTGGAGGGAAGGTCTGAGTGACTCCAGGTGTGTTCACGTCCTAGCATCATAAAGTACCACAAACTGGGGGCTTCCAAGCAACAGAAATGTATTCCCTGACAGCCCTGGAGGCTGGAGGTCTGAGATCAGGTGTCACCAGTGCCCTGCTCCCTGAGAGGGCTCTAGGGAAAGATCCTTCCCCACGTCTTCCTAGTTCCTGGTGGTTGCCAGCAGTCCTGAGTGATCTTGACTGTGTCAGCAGAATTCCGATCTCTGCCCACATCTTCTCTAGGACTGTGTCTCTGTTTTCTCTTAAGGGCACCAGTCATTGAATTAAGGGCCAACCCTAATCCAGCATGACCTCATTTTAACTGGTTACATCTGCAAAGACCCTATTTCCAAATAAGGTCAGATTCATAGGTACTCAGATATGCTAGGACTTAAACGTATCTTGGTGGAGACACAATTCTACCCTAACATGTGCATGGGGACAAGATGCCTGCTTTGTGGGAGCTGGGATTCTGGCAGCTCACATCTGTAAGAATACCTTTGGCCGCAGACAAGAACTCCATCTGAAACCCACTTAAATCACAATGGTGTTATCTCACATAACAGGAAGTCTAGGGCCAGAAGATTCCAGACATATTTCATCTGGGAACTCATCTCTATTTGCTTTGGCCCTGCCCTTTACCAGGAGGCTTCTCCTATTAGCTTTCTTGTTTTTTCTTTTTGTCCTTTTGAGACAGGGTCTCGCTAAGCAGTTCAGGCTGACCTTGAGCTCACTTTGTAGCCCAGACTGGCCTCGAACTCGCAACAATCCTCCTGCCTCAGCCTCCCGAGTGCTGGGATTACAGGAGTGCGCCACCATGCCTGGCTTTCCATTACTTCTTTAAAGAGCCTGTCTCCACAGGCAGCCCCATTCTGAGGTCCTGGGGGTTAGGAGTTCCACGTAGGCACCTGGTGGTGTGTGCGGGGTTGTGTCAAGGAATGCACAGCTCAGCCTGGTACAAGGAGGGCAGGTGGTCTATCAGAAGTAGAAAGCAGAGATGAATATGGGGTGAGCGGCCACCAGGGCCCAGGATATGGGGAGAGATTTGCATGTGATAATGTCAGGCAGTAAAAAGTGCTTTTAAAGAAAATAGAACAGCGTAGGGTAATTTAGAGACTAGGGGGTGAGCAGCATTGGCAGGGTGGTCGCCAAGGCCGCTGTGAGAAGGGAGCATCCAGCTCCACCCCCAAAAAATCATTGTCAAGGACAGCGTGGAATAGGATGCTGTTACTTATCATGCCTATATTTCTTAATGGAGGAGCAAAAGGAGCAAAGTTACTTGTTCAGGTGGAAATAGAGTGGATGAGACCGGGCCAGAAGACAGATTTCCCTGAATAAACCTTATTTTGTGGATTTGACTTTGCAGCTATGTGAACAGTTTACTTAATTATCCAACAACATTAAAATATAATGAATTTCTGGAAATTTTAGCAACATAAAGTGAAGCTATCCTGATTATAGTTTGAGGAATGATCACAGAGAGAGGAACTATTCCAAGTGATTGTGAAAGAGCAAGTTGACCGAACGTTCCTAATGGCATACACCTGAGGACAGAAAGAATTACATAAAGAGCCAAGTGCAGTGTTGCAGGCCTGTAATCCCAGCACTCTGGAGGCTGAGGCAGGAGGATCGCAAGTTCAAGCTCAGCTTGGGCAACTTAACAATTTAGCAAGACCCTGTTCAAAATAAAAATTTAAAAAGGGCTGGGTATGTAGCTCAGTGTGAAGGCCTTGGGTTCAGTCCCAAGTAGTGGAAAAAACAACTGCTTTTAGTAATTTTTTTTTTTAATGCCAGTACTGTTGGCATTGTTACTTGGAGGATTTTTTAAAACGTGTGATTATTTTGCTGATGTTGAGAGGATTTTCAGAATGAGAAAAAGGAAAGCAGATATAGCTCAATGAAGTTATGGTAGAAACCAAAAAACTAAAACTGTAGTTATAAATTGAATTGGAAGAATCAGCATAAAGTCATGTAATGTTTTTATCTTTCTTATTTTTTTTTTATTGTATTAATTTTTTTTTTGGTACTGGAGTCAAACTTACAACCTCGCACTTGCCAGGCAGGCTCTATGCCATTGAGCTATATCTCTGGCCCTATCTTTGTTAAAAATTATAAATATATTTGCTAGTTCTATCCATGAGAAGAAAAAAGACCTAACCACTTCCCAGTAAGCACCCTCGGATGGAGATTTTTTTTTTTTTTTTGAGGCAGGGTTTCACTATGTAGCCCAGGTTGGCCTTGAACTCATGGTGATCCTCCTGCCTCACCCTCCTAAATGCTGGGATTACAAGCATGTACCGCCACTCCCAGGGAGATCTTAATCTCCAATTACCATTTCCTATTTTCCCTACTAGAGGGAACTAGAGATTCTTGGAAAGAAATAGCTGATTTCAGGAGATAGAAAATACACAAGATGTGCTTAAAATACTTTGTCAGACAAAATAACTAGGACACTAGCAAGACTAGTAGAATCATGTCCAAAGAAATGAGCTAACTTGAAGCAGGTCTCAGGAGTCAAAGACAGCAACAATAAAGACAGCTTCAGTGGCTTGAAACAATTATCAAATGTGCTTCAACCCTGACTCCACAATGTACTCAAAAAAGAAAGCACCACTCGCTGATCAACTCGGAAAGATAGATGACAAGAAAACACCTCATTTTCAAAACTGGAGAATAAAAGGAAGCTGAGAAAACATTAATTGATCTTTCTTATATAAACAAAATCTCAGGGTAGCCAAATAATTGATGAAAGGAAGCTTCTTTTTATAAAATGTATCAGCTAATAAATGAAGAAGAAAAAAAACCCAGTAGCTCTAAAATTTAATCACAACCCCTAAAGAAGTAATGGTTCTATGCAATAATCATCAGGGGCAGATAATTCCAGAAAAGCAAGACAACTAGATATTGTTTGCCTCCCACTGGAGGGATCTATCACCACTAACAATGTAGCCTTGCCAAAATAAAGCTAACTGGAACCTAATTAAACCTCTAGATAGAACTACTGATTTTTTTTTTTTTTTCCCGGTACCGGGAATCAAACTCACGACGTCATGCTTGCCAGGCAGGTGCTGTGCCATTGATCTAAATCCCCAGCCCCAGAACTACTGATTTATAAGACATAGAGAAGACAGAGGAACATGTTATACCAGTGATGCACTCAGGAATATCGAGACTGTGAGAATTTTTCTGGTATAAACCACCCTATATCCTACCTCTAATAAGTCTGTAGGTTAGTCCAGTATACAATAATGTGTGACAACCAGTGCTATAGTTTAAAGGAGACTTGCCAGGCTTATCAACAAATTACAATGCATGGGCAAAATTCAAGCAAACAAAAAATCTTTATCACTTAGGGATTTTTTTTTTTTAAACAGGGTCTTGCTGTGTAGTTCATCCTGGTCTTGAACTCACTATGTAGCCCAGGCTGTCCTCGAACTCACAGTGATCATCCTGCTTCAGCCTCCAGAGTGTTGGGATTACAAGGGTGCATCACCATACCTGGCCCTCGGGAAATATGAACAATGACAAAATACTTGAATGTACTGAGGAATCATTTTGTTGTTGTTGTTTGTTTATTTTAAGTGTGAGTGTTATTGAGGTTGTGCTTTTGTAAAGTCTTTATCTTTTAGAGACACATGTTAAAATATTGGCAGATGCAATGATAGGATGCCCTGGATCTACTTCAACATCCTCCTAAGTGGGGTGAAAGTAGATGAAAGAAGACTGCTTATATGTTATTGGTGAGGCTGGTGACTCACGCATGGGTTCTTATACTTTCTCTCTACTTTTATAATTTCTGTAACTGCACATAATAAAATGATTTAAAGGCCCCCAACAATACAAAACTATTTTACCTGGAGAGAGGTATAAAGTAATACCTGTTAATGACTAACCACACTGACCCAGCATGTATTAGAGCTAGGAGGGGAAAAGATGCTAACTTCCTTAGGAAAAAGTAAGGAGAGACAGTATTGACATAACATGGATCTCAATGTCCCCCAAAGGGTCAGGGTTAAAGCCCTGCTCTCCAGTATGGCACTATTGGAAAGTGGTGGGAGTTTAAAGAGGTAGAGCCTAATAGCAAGGTCTTAGGTCACTGGGGGCATGCCCTCAAAGGGGATTGTGAGACCCTGGTGTCTGTCTGTCTGTCTGTCTGTCTCTCTCCCAGTCCCCAGCCATGAAGTAAACAGGCTTTGCTCTGACACACACTGGAGCCGTGACATACTATCTTGCTGAGACCCAAAGCAATGGAGCCAATGGATTATGGATTGCAACCCTGCAAAGCTAGGTTAAACCTTTTCTCTTTAGAAGTTGATCATCTCAGATATTTTGTTACAGTAACAGACCACTGACTAACAGAAGTATAGATAACAAAACATTACCCAGAGGAAAAGGCCTCAGCTATGATTCATCAGAGGGGGTCCCAAGCAATCAGGCATTCTTATTTTGGTGCTGTGGGGTCTGGAGTGCTCTAGGGGGTGCTGTATTTTGGTGCTATAGGGGGTGCTATTGGTGTGTGATTTTGCAAATGGGAAACAGGTTTGATGAAAGCAGATCTTGGGGGTGAGAGTTATTGTCTTAGATTGGGCCAGTTTGACATCAAAGTTAACACATTCCAATTCAGGTGGGCATCTGCTCTGTAGACCTATAAACTACTCCTCACATGCTAGAGGGTGAGACATTTGTTCCTCCCAACCACTCCTGTCCCAAAAGGAAAGGTCCATCACTGTGACATCTCACTTTGGGAAATGTGGCCAAGCCCTTGGCCAAGCCCACGTGGGGGTCTGCACAATGGGTCAGGTGGCATGCAGGCTCTGACTCACCAGACACAAGAATGTAAATAATATTTTAATAAGTCTTATAGCAACCCAGAAAGAGCAGGTCTGAAGACCTTTGTTCTATTGTTAGGTCCCAGCTGAGCCCAGGGAAAAAGAAGAAAATTTCAAAAACAACTTTTGACTATGTCTCCTTTTTCTCACAAAACAAGACAAGGATAAACCATCCTGGAAACCATCTTTCTCTGGGATTTGACCCCTCAATACATTTCCTTGCCTCCACCTCATCCCAGGGTGAATATGAAGCATTTTTAAATAAAATAGGTGAGGAAGTCTCCCCAGTAGATTAACATGTGTTTGAGTATTAAGCCTCCCTCACAAGGAAGCCAGCCATGAAGTTTTAACGTGAAGAGCCCCTCACTCCATCCCATCCTCAGTCCTGGCCAGAGTTTTCCTCTTTCAGTCACCGAGAGGGCATCACCCCGGCTTCTTATCAGAAGAAGGTGGCCATGGGATCTATGGCAATTTGACGGTTTCCTTAAACTCTCCATGGCCAGATGTCCTTACCAATCTCCCAAGAAAAATGGTAGGCCAAGAAAAATTCAGACTAGTGGCAAAATCCCAAACATTACCTTTGCGCTCTCCTGCTCATTTATTCCGGCCCATCCCTCCCAGACGGGAGGAGAGCAGCTCTTCCCTCCCAGAGGAACTGGGCTTCTCAGGGAGAAGTTAGGATAGGGAGGAGCTACTGACTTTATTTCTTCACTTATAATACCAGGTTATGTTTTTAAGATACAGTTTCCCAAAAGGGAAGTAATTTAGGCAGAATCCATGCTCTCATGTCAGTTCCTTCGTCTGAAGGGTGCATGCGGGTCACAGGCTCTCCCGCGCTCTCTGTTCAGAAGGCTGGCAGGTGTATCTCAGAGAGGGTGTGGACAAGAACCACATGCCCAGCATGGGAGGAAACTCTGCCTCCTACATAAGCACACAGAGGCACGACTGGACCCCCAGCATAGCTACAAGCACTTCGTTCATAGCAAGCGTTGCCACTAGCAGTGCGGAAGGGCCGGCCTTCGTGTCAGGCACACACCCCAGGTCTCCTTCCCCAGCTAGTTCAAACTCACAATGCCACTCACATAACCACAGTGGCAGAAGTATGGGTTTCCGTGTCACCCCATGGGACAGTGTGGCACTGCCCTAGAAGCCTGGGCAAACAGGGAGGTGGGCAAGGACCAGGCAAAGGAGAGAGATGCCTGTCACAATTTGTGTCCCCAGTTGAGTCCTTGGGGGAAGAGAAATCAGCCCAGATCTCTGCACCCTTAGAAGTCATACGGGGACACAAAGATGGTGACCTTGGACACGTGGTTGGCCTGGAAGGAGCGGTCCAGGTATTCCGACATGTCAACATCCACCTCCAGTGTCTGAGGCCCCTCCAGGGTCTGGACGAGGATCAGCTCCCCTGTCTGCCGGTCGGAACGCTGCATCACGAAGTGGCCGCGGCTGTTCCCCCCCACGATCCCGAACCGCAGGCTGTTGGGCGCAGACCGGCTGGGGGCCGAGGCCGTGGCCATACGGAAGAGCGTGATGGGTGTCTTCAGGTTGGAGGGCAGAGAGAGGTAATGGAAGGAGATGGTCTTGGGCATACTGCGGCAGGGTCTGCTGTCCATGGGGCAGGGGTTTCGCTCACACTGGCTAGAGCAGAGGCAAAAGGGAAGCTGTCAGATTTGGGGAACCCCTCTTGCAGTGACCATCTGGGTGACCCTCCCCAACCATGGGTCCTGACCCAGAGCTCTGGAGCTGCAGGCAAGGCATGTGGCTGGAGGGAGGCATGACTCCGGAAGAGGTGCTGCTTCCAGTCCCGGGGCCCTCCCAGTCCATGTGCGTGTACATGTGTGCACACGTGCATATGCATGTACAAGTGCATACATATGCACATGTTCTGTTCTTATAGTTTTTACAGAAAGTTAAAGCCTCGGAAGATTAATGACAAGGTTGCTGGTATTCGAGCCAGGTGCCCTTTCTGCAGGTGCCGAGACCCCCCTTCAGCAGCCAGCTGCCAACATCCTGCAGTGGGGCCCCCCCTCAGTGAGCTTTCCAAACTCAACACCATTCATTCTTAAGCAGGAAGCCCTGTCTTCCTTAGCCATCTGGATTCAGGGTCTTGTGCAAACAGCTCTGATATTTGCCTACCTTCTCGAAGATAAAAGACACAGACTGTCACTTAGCCTATTTGTTGATTCTGCACTCTCATGATTATGCAGATCAAATATCACAACTGGCCACTAATCTAACGTCCTCAGAGGCTACTACAGTGAGGTTTCCTGTCCCTCCATTAAGTGGCTCCTGGAGGAAGGTTCCGGTGTCTTCAGTCTCTAACAGCTGCCCCCGTTTGGTACCCCTGGCTTTCTTGCCCCTTCTAATCCGCCTTAATCCTCATAACAATTTAAAGTACTACTTCTGTATGAAGTCAATTCTCTTCATTTTAAAGACACTTCCAGGGTCTTAGGATCTCTTCTTGAGAAGTGAGTATCTGTGCCTTGTGTGAATTGTAGTTGTTCCTCTTTAAAAGCCCGTCTCTCACCCTCTGAAACAACAAGTTTATTTACTAAGTGCTGAGGTCTCCAGACTTTCTAGCACCAGTGGAAAAGCAGAGGGATGTAATGCACAGTGCCCCGGCCACACACCGTGCCTGCAGTCTGTGTCACCCAGGGGTGGCTGCAATCCCTCCACCCTCTTGTGGCGGGGGAGCTCTTGGTATATCACTCTCACTGGGGCACACTGGGTTCTTACTGCACCAGCCCAGCAGTGCATTAAATGCACCCACCCCGGGGGAAAAGGAAGCTTGGGGAAGCTGGACGCCCAGCTCCCGGCCCGTGGTCTTCCCCAGGAGGCTCCAGGAAGACTCTAGTCAGTACAGAGGCCTAGGTGAGGGCAGCTCCGCTGTACTCACAAGGGAGAGGTCTTCACGTAGCTCACGTTGTTGCTGCCCTCAGGGCACTCGGGGCTGACGCACTGGAAGCCACCCCCGGTGTTGATGCATGTGGTCCCCCGGGGGCACACGTGCTGTGGGCCAGCGCACTCATCCACATCTGAAATACGGGACACACGAGGAAGGAGCAAACCCCCTGGCTCCCGGCCTCCATACCACACGAAAGGCCCGGGCAGGTCCAAGGATGCAGTGCTTTGTACTGCTGGCCATCTGGAAGGGCGGCTGCGGAGCGCTGCAGAGCCTGGCGGGAGAATGCCTCCCCGGGGTCCCGGCCTCTGTCCATGGGTCCACGGGGTCTGACAGGCGACAGCAGCTCAGAGGACCAGGTGTGGACCGTGCCCTGCAGCCACCTGCCTCTGCTGCCGTCTCACTCACCCTCGCAGCTCTTGCCGTCGGCCAGAGTCTGGTACCCGCTAGGGCAGGAGCAGCGGTAGGAGCCCGGGGTGTTCACGCACGCGTGCATGCAGAGCCGGGGGCGCCCCTCCTGTCCGTACAGCTCGCACTCGTTCACGTCTGGGGAAGGAAGCGCCCAGCGTGACTCCGGAGCCCCGCAGCCCCATGGACTGGCCGTGGCCCAAGGCGTCACTGGAGACTGTGACTGCGGGGCTGAGCCTGGTGGAGGGCCCGGGGACGCCCCTTCAACCCGCCCAGGGCCCAGAGCGCGGACAAGAGGAGTGGGAGGGAAGGGGTGCGACGGACCCTAGGGGTCCCCTCGTCTAACTGGGGAGAACAGGCAGAGGGGGGAAATCAGGCACTTGGTCCTGAGAGGAGCGGGGTTTGCAGTCCCCTCCTGAGCCTCTTCATCTTTGGGGTTGGAGTAGGAGGGTCTCGTTTCCGCTGTGCTAAAATAAGCCTGTTGGCACCGACTGACCGAATGTCAGGTTCGAACTTCTGGTTTGGGGAGGAAGCCTGGTCAGCAGGAGAGGTCGGCAAAGGTGAGCTGGTCAGGAAAGCTGAGCGGGGCGGGACCCCCAGGCAACGAGTCCAGGCCCCTGCACAGCCCCAGGACCTGGTCTACCTGCTGGCGATCCACGCCCCGCCCTGTCACCTGCCAGGATAGAGCTGGAACAGGAGTCGAGGCTCTTGGGCACCCAAGGTCGCGGCTTCGGCGCTGGGGCAGCCTCAGACTCCCGCTGCATTGTCTAGGGTCTTTCGGGCACCCGGGGCCATGTAATTCGCAACTTCCATTAGGGTCACACCCAAAACAGCGAGTGGGAGGAGCCTTAATAGACCACGCCCCGCGGCAACGCCCCTCCGGGTGAGCCCCGCCCCCGCCCCCGCGGGACCCCGCCTACCTTGGCACAGGCCGTCGCCCGCCGCGGCGCCGCTCAGGTGGAACCCGGCCTCGCAGCTGCAGTGCTGTGCCCGCTCCACCTGCGCGCAGCGGGGCGCGCGGCTGAAGGCGGAGTCGCCGGCCACGCCGCCCTCGGGGGCCGCTGCGGGAGGAAGACGCGCTCAGTACGTGCCCTGGGCCACCCGGGAGGAGGACCCGGATGAGCACGGACAAGGCTCAGAGAGCTGACTCTGGAGCCGGGAGAGGAGAGGCAATGAACGGAGGAGATCCGCGAGGGGGGAAAGTTTGCGTTTCCTTTAAAAAGGCTTACACGAAGGCGAGGTGGCGCTCGCACCAGACTCTTCTCCCCCAAAAGTAGGACGTCTTTTGGTTGGGCTTTTTTTTTTCAGGTACTGGGAATTGAACCCAGGGCCTTCACACTGAGCTACGCCCCCAGCCCATTTTAATTTTTGAGGCAGGGTCTTGCTAAATTGCCCGGAGCAGGCTCAAATTTGCCTCAGCCTACCGGAGTACTGGGATCAAAGGCGCCACACCTGGCTTGGTCGTTTCCACAGAAGTGTTGGTTGCAGTGTAGCTTAGAAACCCCATCCATTCTCCACAGATTCCTTAATTGGATTTTTATGCCATGTGCAAAACCAGCTACTGTGTGGCTGAGACCTCTAGTGGGGGGTATCAGAGACTCGCTGATCAAATATCTGGTTATCCAGCTGTTGAAACGCAGTGGGCTGCATTAGCAGCTGCGAATTGCGCAGGGCGTGAAGGAAACATTTACAGATAATACGATCTTGTTGGCAGAAGAAATGCTGCTCAGGCAAAGGTGGCCGCAGTGCATCTTCTCTGGGAATTTGGCCAAATTCCCAACCCAGAAGCTGCTAGGTTGAGAGTCAGTCCTGCTACTCATGGTTTCTTCCATAAGAAAGATCAGAACTCTGGGTACACAGAAGAGCTAAGCTCCACCAAGTAACCACTTTAGGGAGCCAGAGAGATCAACGGATGGAACCAGAGAGGAGAAGCCCGTGGGTCTGAGGGGCACCGAGCTCTCGCCATGTTTGCATTTTGTGACCCATAACTAGGGTCCTCGCCTCCCCACGGTGGGACATCCTCCCCCAGCCCCATAGTGGGTGCGTACCAGTCTGGGCCTGATGTTGACAGCGGGCCCCAGTCCTTCCTGGGGGACAGAGGCACCTGAACTGGTTGACTCCTTCTACGCACGTCCCACCATGTTGACAAGGCTGGCTGGCGCACTCACTGATCTCTAGGAGAGAAAGATTTCCAGACACAACCACGTGAGCTCTGATTCTGAAGCAAACAAAAACCAAGGCTGAGCCACCTTTGTCTCCATTGTAGGAGCGCTGCAGCTTTCCACCTCCCTGCCCTGTCCGCCATCCTCCTCTCCACCCGCAAGAGCTGCGAGGGGGCAGCGGGGCTGAGAGGCAGCTCGTTCCTTCTGTAGGCAGCAGGCCCTGTGCCTGCTGCACACTGTATCCCCCAGGCTCTGTATGCAGGAGCTGGCCTGGCACCTGGCCACGCCCCACCCGGGGACACCAGGTTCTTATTTGCAAGGTGTGGTGTGGACAGCCAGAGGCATCTGCCTTGGGCTGCCTGTACATCCGGCCCCCTGGCCTCTACCACCAGCATCTATGTGGAAGTCCTTCTAAACAGGTGTGAAACTCAGCGGCAATGGCAAGTGGAGGGATGGCCCACTGGTGTGCCCAAGGATGGGGGAAAGCAGTTCTCCAAATCCCCATCCAAAAGCCCTGCTGTGATCTACGGGGAGGGATTTGTTGGCATTTCCTTAACATCAATAAAGGGGGCTTGTCAGTGCTCATACGCAGCAGTCCTATGGGAAAGCTATACATAGACAGAGGTGCATATTTTATTTATTCTTTTTTTCTTTTTTTCTTGAGCTCAGTGATCCTCCTGCCTCAGCCTCCTGAGTGCTGAGATTACACCCGTGCACCATCACACCTAGCTCCCCAGAGATGCGTATTTCAAAGGCTCAGTAGATTTTTTTTTTTTTCTGAGAGCTAGGTTTACAGGTGTTTTTCTTTGCTTGTTTGTAATGTTTTATATTCTTCCATTTTTCTTCCATTACTATAAATGGTTTAATTAGAAAAAGGCTATTTCTGAAAACTCTCAGGCTGTGCACTTATTATGGATTCCCAGGCCTGCTTTAGTGCACAAACAAACGCAAGCCGTTTCCGCGAGAAGGTTTGTGAGCGCACAGACTTGGCGCAGCGCCTCGCGGCTGGCACAGGAGCAGCTTCCTGCTGAGGCTCCTGAGAGGTGGAAGCAGGTGCTTTGCTCCCCACAGAGAAGAGAAGCGCGGACCGTTTGGGGCGGCTGGGAAGGGACTTTGGCTTCCCTGAGGCCTCCCTGTGCCCACTGCAGGGTTTCTCTTAGTCTGTAGGGACCCAGGCGGCCCGGGGAGGCCGCCAGCGCGGGGAAGAGCCCGGGCTGTTTTTTCCCCCAGTCACTCCGGTTCCCGCGACTGGTTTCCAGCACCGTCTGCACCGCACTGCGCTCCCGCGGCCCGGCGCCGTCCAGCCCCTTCCTCGCTCACCAGCCGCGTCCGCCAGCGGGCAGAGACGGGCTATGAAGATGCGAACAGGGAACCAGAAAGCTCAGTCGCTGGTATCTGGCTTTTCTGCTGGGGACCTCCGTGGAAGACTATGGACCCTGCGGGCGGGGCTGGCCATATGGCCCGGGCAGGAATAAGCCCGGCCGGGACGGGGGTCCTCGGTCTCGCTGTGGGTGACCCTGGGAGACACACTCCACGCAGACTCCGTCCCTCTCATCTTGATGGGCGGCAGAGGCGCTCAGCAGCCCGAGGCCCAGCCCGGCGCCAGGTCTGTGTCCCGATCCAAGGACAGTTGTCACTGCATTCCTGTGGGCCCCCAGCTGTGGCGTTTAGGTAGCGGTGGCGACCTCAGAGCTGTGAAGAGGGCGAGGCTGAGGTTGCAGAAGAGGCTCACAGCCGAGGGACGGCCGTAATCCTGTTTTAATTAACTGTGTCCTGAGCACTTCCTGTTCCCATGACAGCCAGCTAAGTGAGCTGATCTTTCCCCCTCGATCCCTCCCTGGCTCTGTTATCTCGTTTCACATTTCCTGTTGCTTTATCTCACTTCTGTGCATGCTACTGTTTTATAGTTGTTGTCTTTTTTTTTTTTTGGCTCTTTGAGATAGGGTCTCTCTATAGAGTCCAGGTGGGCCTTGAACTCACTATGTAGCCCAGGCTGCCTCCAATTTGCAGCAATCCTTCTGTCTCAGCCTCCTGAGTGCGGGAATTATAGGCATGCACCACCACACTGGGCTCTATTACTCATATGGAAGTGAAATAATTGTTCCCATAGACCTTGGGTCACTTCATGACTCTAAAATTCCCACTTCTGTTGCTTTTTCAATGCAGTTGAAATCAGGGCTCCCTCTTTCTCAGCTCTGCCTCGTTTATGCGCCTGTTTGGGTGACCATCCCCCCACCCCATCCCAGCGTGCCTCTTCCTTCGGCTCCTTCGGGTAGCGTCTCCTCAACATGAGGGTTTTGACCCTGAAAGTTCTGAGGGCTCCCAGGGCCACACCGTGCCAGCCACAGAAACTTCCTTGGAAAACAAATCCAACAGCTGAAAAAACTGGACCGGAAAGGCTGGCAGTGAGACTCATAGTCCAATAACTGGGTCTTAAAGAGAAGAAATGCTAGTGGGCGACCAGGCAAAAAGACTGAGACACCTCTGATGGAAACAGTAACACGAATTTAGACAGAGGATGCAGAGCAACCTGTTTAGGACCCCCAAGGAAAGGAAAGCCATGAAGCGGGTATTTTATATCCAACCACGCTGACATCCAGCACACTGTTTGGACAGGGTGAGAACCCAAATTCTTTTTTGGGGGGCAGGGAGGAGAATGAGACTCATAGCAATCCTCCTGCCTCAGCTTCCCAAGTGCTGGGACTACAGGTGTGCGCCACCACGCCTGACTGTCCCCACATTCTTGAGAAATCAGCTGGAAAGACATCATATGAGCAAGGGGACACTCCCACAGCGTGAGACGTGTACCAACCGATTGTAAGTTATGAACTTGATTTGGGCCCCAAGTCCAACAGAGTTTTAAAAGTATGTGAAACAATTGAGGGGCTTTTAAAAAAAAACCCTAATTAGATATTTGATGCTATTAAGGAATTGACTGTGTGCTCAAAACTGGGTTTTAGGTATGTGAGATCACTCTACTAGGCAGGTATGGTGATGCATGCCTGTAATCCCAGCACTCCGTAGGCTGAAGCAGGAGCATTGCTATGAGTTCAAGACCAGCCTGGGCTACAGAGTGAGTTCTAGGCCAGCCTGAACTGCATAGTGAGACCCTGTCTCAAAAAACAAAGAAACAAACAAACAAATATGAAACCATTTTACTGTTTTCTGTACATTTGTGTGTTTGAAATTTTTGTAGTGGAAAATATTTAAAATGCTTGGAGTTATTTATGATTAGAGAACTTGGAAACAAGAGAGGGATTGCCCAGCGAAGCATTGAACGGCCCTGCAGAGGAAAAGTTCTGTCTAGAAAGTTCTGTTTCCTGGGGAATGCCCATGTTAATATCCAGACACTCGGTATGTGAAACTTGCATTTCCGTATGTGCTTAAACACTGGAATGGAAGTCACAGTATTTAAACATAGTCCCTCATACATGCATGCATTCATTTAATGAGTCATTTGGTAAACTGGCCAGCCAGTCAATTATTCTACTAGTATTTGCTTATTTTATTACTATTGTGTGCATCTGTGAATGTGCCTGGTACCGGGGATGAAACCCAGGCCTCATGAATGTTGTTCAAGAGTTTTACAAAAAAGAAAAGGGTAGCTGGGTGTGATGGCACACACATGTAATTCGCAGTTGGAAGGCTGAGGCAGGAGGATCACCATGAGTTTGAGGTCAGCCTTGGCTACGTACTGAGTTCAAAGCCAGCCTGAACTACAAAGTGAGACCCTGTCTCAAAAAAAAAAAAAAAAAGAGAAGAAAGAGTTCGTATCTTAAAAACATGCGCTTCAGGGAAAGAAGACAAAAAGGAAAATAAGGCTATGGCTGAAGCCCTTGCCTAGCATGTGTGAGATCCGGGGTTTGATCCCCAGCAAGATATATATATATATCTCCCAACTCCCCGTGCTGAATGTAATCACTGTGTACTGCAAATATGTACTAATTTTTTTAAAAAAGGAAAATAATCCAGGAAGCCACATGCTGCCCTCTGTCCTGGAGTTCCAGGTCTTCCCCTGCCCGCTGGGTTTGTAAGGGCATAATTATGTGTGGTTTCCTTCTGTGCCGAGTGGGGTTCATCACCTCTTTCCAAGCAGTTGGCTGGGGAGGAGGTAAGGGATAGGTCCTTACAGTACTGCCAGGTCCCCTGATACTGATACCCCGACACTTTTTCTGTACTGGGGATTGAACTCAGGGCCTTTGCACTGAGCTACATACGCAATCCCCCATCCCCTTGTTAATTTTTTTTTTTTTTTTTTAATTTGAGACAGGGTTTTGCTAAGACACTAATTTTCCCAGGATGGGCTCAAACGTGTAGTCCTCCTGCCTCAGCCTCCCAGAGTTCTGGGCTGACAGACATGTACCACCAGGTCCAGCTAAGCAACTACTTACAACTATATCTCTGGGCCTTTGATATTTTGTAGCTAAATGCCGGAAAACACATTCTTTCAGCTACCTTCTCTGATTAACTCCTCTTTTTATTTTAAACACATGACGCTCGTTATTAAATACATGTTCCCGAGAAGAACAGGATACTTGGATAATATTTGAACAAGGAAGAACAAACAAATAGCACGTGGGTAAAACGGGTTTCCACCCGCACAACTGCTGGGGGGCTAGGCAGCCTTCCGCAGAGCTACTGGAAAGAAACCAACCTGGGGCACTAATGCTATCCGTTCTTCAAAAATACGGATATCCAGTGTAATGAAAATCAAACGTCCCGCGGGCCCCCTCGGCTGCCATCGCTTATCATTCGCGAGGCATTTGGCTGAAATCGAGATCTCTCAGGGCTGAGGGCGAATACTAGACCTTTGCATTCTGTGACCTGAGCTCCCCGGCAGGCGCCCAGCGGCTCTGAATCCCCGACTTGGAGCCACGTTCTTTCCAGGAGAGGGAAGGAGCCTGAATCTGTCCGCGTGGTGCAGTCTTCGCTCCACACCCATCGTCAGACACTGCATCTTCCAGCGCTTCCTCTATGTTTTCAAATTACTTACGCAAAGTCCCCTCCGGGCATGCGCAGTACGGAGCACCTCACCAGGGAGTACTGCCAGCTCACCTGGGAGGCTGATACAGGAGGATCACTTGAGCCCAGAATTGGACATAGCAGGACCCTACCACAAAAAAATCCAAAACAAAAAACCCACCAAAAGCCAAAGTCCTCTCTCTGTTCTGCTCTTTTCAACCCACTTACTTATGCAGTATTTCTGTTCCTCCTCACTCTTTGTCTAGAAACCATGAGCATTCTGCCCCAGCAAGGCCCCCGGAATGTCTGCGAATGTCGGGTATCCATGAATTTTTCACCACACATTCTGGTGAGCCAGCACATTATGGACGCCAAGCCTCATTTTTCTCTACATCAAAAAAGTACCATGTCGAAGAGTGCAGGAAGAAGAGAACCCTGTCACTTCTCCCTCACTCCAAAGTCTCCCCCGGAGCTGTCCACACCAAATGCCAGTGTAGACGCAAGGGACCCCGCAGAGGACACCAGCGGGCTCACTAGCACTCCGGCCGCGAAGAGCGTTTCCCGTGTCCCTGCCCCTCACCACGGGCGGCCTCTTGTCCTCACACTGATGCACTCCAGTCGCCAGCGTCCAGGCAGAGGCAAGACTGTAGGTTCATAGCATCCACCCACCACTCCCAGCTGTGTGACCTGCGTAAGTTTCTTAACCTCTCTGTGCCTCCGTTTCGCTATACGCAAAGCACGACTAGGTCGAGGTGAGGGATTAGCAAACTCCTGCAGCACGTAGGTACGTGGTCAGCAATACTGACCCTGCTTTGTAGTGGAGGAGGCATTCGAGTCGGGCGGTGCCCCAGGGAAGGATCCTTGCCCCCAGAACCCTCCCCCACCAGGTGTGCGGGGTGGCGGGGAGGAGGGCGGTACCTCTGCAGCCGGGCTGCTCCGCGGTCCAGGTGCCGTTGGGGAGACATGTGACGCTGCCGGGCCCGACCAGCCGGAAGCCGGGGTTGCAGGCGAAATGGACTTCGTGATCCACTAAGTACTTGCTTCCAAACTTCCTGCCGTCCAGAGGGGCTTGCAGAGGCGGGCAGGAGGCTGTGAGGGGAGAAGAGGGTCAGGAGCCCTGCTGCGGGACCTCGGCCCCTTTGACGTCACGCCACCTGCGAGACCTCCCCGTGTCCAGCACCTGCCGCAGGCTGCCCAGGGCGGGCAGCCCCGTCTGTGCCATCGCGGTCTCCAGTGCCCTTGGGGGCCCGGGCCTGGGCATCCGCTCTTCTGCAATGCTCTCTCTCCAGAACCCCTCCCGGCTCCTTCTCCCTCTTCAGGTCTCCAGTCCGATGCCAGCCTCCCCACACCCTGGTGTTCCTGATGCGCTGTCAGCTGAGCCCTCCCCGGGACCCTCCCTCCGGGCACACTTCATTTTCTTCTTAGCGTTTGCAGCCGTCCGCATTTCCTTGGTGACTTCATGGTCCCTGTGCTTGTGTCAGTTCTCACAGTGAGGCTGCCATGTTCCTGCCATGTCCCCAGCGCCAGCCAAGTGCCAGCACATAGTGATTGCCTAGTACGTGACTCTTGAACAAGATTTTTTTTTTTCTTTTAAACAGGGTCTCACTCTGCAGTCCAGGTTGGCCTTGAACTCACTTTGTAACCCAGGCTGGCCTCAAACTCACAGCGATCCTCCTGCCTCAGCCTCCTGAGTACTGGGATTACAAGCATGCGCCACCATGCCCTGACAAGTAGTTTTTTTTTAAAAAAAAAAAAAACAAGTAGTTTTAAAAAAATAGTAGTTTTTAAAAAATAGTAGTTTAAAAAAAAAAAAACTACTGTGTTATTGTGTCAAAAAGAGTTTGAAGTGTTTTTGGGGAAAAGGAGTAGGGTTTTTTTGGTGATGAGAAATCTTTATTTATTTATTTATTTATTTATTTTGGTACCTAGAATCGAACTCAGGATCTTGTGCTTGCCAGGCAGGCACTTATGCCACTGAGCTATATCCCCAGCCTGAGAAATCTTTAAAAAATCCCCCCCCGCAAAAATTAACCTGCAGGCATCATACACACAGTAGGTGTTCAATAAAGGTGGGTAGAATGAATGACCGGATGTAAGTAATGTTTGCAATCATGTTCCCAAAAGAGTACTGAATGCCCCTGCTCAGAGGATTCACTTTAAGAGCATGTCCTGGTGAGTCCTTAGGACCACATGAACTCCCTATGACTCCAAATCAATCCTGATGTGTTGACTTCTTTGGATTAAGACACACCCAGCAGATTAGTACAGCACGCTCCCAGGGTTCAGCTGGGTGGCTCACGGAAGCGTGGCCTTGGGCACTAGCTCTGGACCCTGTCTCTTTCTCTCTGGCGCTGCTCCTCGGCCACTATGTACTACGCAGCTTTGCTCCACCAGCCCTTCCACCTGGAGGTTCCTGCCTTGAAACCTGCCGACCATGCACTGAGTCTCCCAACCGTGAACTAAGTTAGACCTTTCCTCCTTTCCATTGTGGGCACCAGGGACTGTGATTCAGAGACCGGACAGCGGATGGATACAGCGCATGCAGCCTCCCAGTAGGGTCAACGAGGGCAATGAGGTGCCCCGGATGAAATGGAAGCTGATTTGTTGAAAGAAAGGAGGGGAAAACAAGAGGGAGATCCTGAGAGACGGAAGCCAGAAAGAAGAAGACCAAGAATTCTGGATAAGTAATCATTCTTCCTGAGCCCAGCGAGTGCTGGGGAAGAAAGAAGGGAAGAGAGAACGGGAGGGAAGAAAAGAAAAAGGAAGAAAGAAGAGGAAAGGAAGGAAGGAAGAGAAAGAAAGAAAGCAAGAGAGCCCATAGAAGGTCATTTCCGCACCACCAGCCATCAGACCTCAGCAAGCGTCCAGCTCCCCAAGGCCCAGGGGCAGCCCCCAAGCCCACCCCGAGCAGGACCCTGCTAGTGGCTGCCCCCCTCTCCCCGCAGCACTGTCACAGGCTCGGCCTCCTCCCCTGCAAAGTGCCCAGCACACTGCCCAAAACATATTGTGAGGGAGACATAACACATGGTGATAACTCTTAAAAAGAGAATTTGGCACCTTTTACAATCCAGCATGGCTCAGGGCAGAGAATCCGCAAATCTTGGGATGAAAGGACGTGATGAGAGCTCCTCCTTATCTGCCTAGTACATGGTAAGGGCCTCTCTCACAGGCAGCCACCACCCTTTTTGTGGTATTGGGGATTGAATCCAGGTATTTCACACTGAGCTACATTCCCAAAGACTCCTTTTAAAAATTCTTTATTTGGAGATGGAGTCTCACTACATCAGTAAGTTGCCCAGGTTGAGCTCAAACTTGGGATCCTCCTGCCTCAGCCTCCCTGAGTTGCTGGGACTACAGGAATGTACAGGCATGTGTCACAATGCCTGCATGAGCAGGGCCCTTTGATACATGTTTCCATGTGGCCTCTTCACTGGAACTCTCCGACCACATGCAGCGCTTTGCCATCCCGAGAAAGCCGGGAAACGGCCAGATAAATGAGCAGATGGGCCCCTGCGGCTGCTCACCCATTTCTCCTGGCCTCGGCTACCCCGTCTGCAGCAGGCAGGAAGGACGCCCCGCCTGTTTCTGGTTCAGCTTTGGAGCCCACGGAGGGCTGGGGCCTCTCTGTGCCGGGGAAAATGTGAGGTTGGGCTGGCAGATCTAGTTCTGCCTCGGTGCGGCCAAGGAAAACAGGAGGCAGCAGGAGACTCTGGGTTTGCTACCATCACCTGGGACAAGGCAGTAAACCCCAGCCTTCCCCAGGAAGCCCCGGCTCACCCAGCAAGCAACAAGCCCCACATACCTGCGTGAGTGGGGAGCAGAAGACCACTGGGGTTCGGAACAGGCGGGATCCCCTGGGCCCCGGCGCCCACCGCTGATCAGGAGCAAGAGCCCGGGGTCAGCAGCCCGGGGTGCCCGCCGCCACCTCCCCAGACAAGTAGGGCTGTCCCGGGCGCCAGGGGAGGACACGGCTTCGCCTGGACAGCTGCAGCCACGCTGGCTCAGCTCTCTCGAGGTGTGCGTGTGGCACGCCTGTGCATGCGTGTGTGGGCCTGTGTGGAGGGCAGGCGTGGGGACTCCCTGCACCCTCCATAAACTTTGCTGTGAATTTAAAGCCACTTTGAAAAGTAACCTGCTAAATTAAAAACAAAAAGAGAAACAAAAGCAAAAGCAGAGCCCCACTGTTGGCGCCGGGAAAGGCAGGTGAGGGTGTCCCGTGATACCCCAGGGCACAGACTGCGCTGGGGAGAGGGCAGGCAGTGTCGGCGTGGCTTCCGTGGCCTCAGTGGTCGTCGTGGGGACCCCGAGCGGCCGGGACCCACCTGGCGGGGCGTCGGGCGCCAGCCGGCCCACGGAGCTCTGCAGCGCGGCCAGGCGGCTCCTGGCGCTGCGCATGGCCTCGGCGAAGCGCGCCTCCTGCCCCTTGAGCAGCTGCTGCAGCTGGCGCACGGTGGTGAGGAGCTGCTGTTTGCTCAGGCAGTTCTGGGGAGAGAAGAGACCCGGCGGCGCCTGGTCAGTGCCTGGTCAGTGCCTGGTCAGTGCCCCGTCAGCGCCCACGCTCGTGTGAGCTTCAGAAGTCCCCACACCAACGGGTCCAAGCCGCCCCCTTTGCTCGCTCAGCAGCCCCCAAAGATCCTCTCTGTCCAGGACTCCAGCGGGGCGGCCACGTGTGCCCAGGGAGCCACCGGACCACAGCCCCACACACAAGCATCACAGCCTCCCCAAACCAAACAAGGGCCGGATGCTTGCTCTGACCGGCTGGGTGGCTGAGCAGTTATTTGAACCCAACGTGCCTCAAAATCCCTAGCTGTTTCCTCCAAAAGACACTTAATTGCTCACTCTAAGTAAAGGCCCTGAAATCTTGGCCCTGGTGAACTTTTTCTTTCTTCCTTCAGCTCTTTAGGGCCTTCACCCTGAGCTACATCCCCAGCTCCACAGTCTCCCAGCCCCTTTTAAAAATTTTTAAATTTTGAGCTAGGGTTTCATTAAGTGTCTAAATTGGTTAGACTGCCATCAAAATTCACTCCTCCTGCCTCAGCCTCCCAGAGGGCTGGGATTAGAGGCGTGCACCACCATGGCCCCCTCTCCCTTGGACATCTTTAAAGAGATGACAAAACATATAAAACGAGCAAAGCAGGAATTCTTATGCTTTAAAAACATAACAGGGGAAATAAGAAAATGAAACTCAATAGAGTTAAAGAGGCATTCAGTAAAAGTCATCGGTCAGTTCTGCGAAAGCTGTTAAAAATGGCAGAAGGAGGATGATGTTGATAAAAACTACCTAACTTAAAGGAACCTAAGCCTTCCACTTACTGATAGAAATCTCAAGGTCTCCAGTCTCAACTGCCTTTAAGAGCCAGGGCGTGAAACAGAGTAAAGCGTGCAGGAGTCGGGAGTGACTGACAGCTGGAATGACCAAGCCAGTGAGGGTCTCCCTTGCCTGGGGACTGCGTGTCACCAGCACAGCCTGGTGTGACCTGCCTTGTATCCTCACAGGCGTGAAGATGCCACAGCAAGGCAGCACTGCTGTTTATCTTCAGGGATGACCTTATGGAACATTTTTAATAAGAATCATTTATTGTAAATTATTAAGGTAGAGGGTTAATGGTACAATGTTACACATAATCTCTTATACTTCAAAACTTCAACATAATGGATAAAAATAGCAAAGCAGAATGAGCATGTAAAATGCCAAAACTAAGCCTATTTTATAGAGAAAGTTTCCTATTATATACTAATGTTCTTTATCGTGTCTTCATAAACTTACGGCTTTGCTCCTTTCTAACATAGCTTCTGATTTCTTATCGTTTACATTTCTTGTAAATTAATGTTAGTTTCAGATTCCTCATTCAACTCAGCTAGCTGACTTAAATATCCAAGTAAATGTAGCACTGTTCATTAGAGACTACTCCCATGTCCCCAAAAATATTCTATGAAGTTTTCAAAGGATATAATGTAAATCTTCCAGCTACAAAGTGAATTAAAAACTGTCAACCCTGACTCCACTTACTGTGTTAACATTATAACTTCCTTAGGTGTAACTTTTAGTTAAATGCTCTTGTGGAATATAACCATTTATACTAAATGTGAGAGAGTGAAAAGGCTTAATAGATTATATAATTTAAAACTGGGTTATTCCCTTACATGTTATCTTATATGCCAGGGGAGAAATATCATTATTCTTCAGGGTATTAAAAAAAAAAAACAGAAAGGTTTGTTTTGTACACATAATACAAAATTTAGACTTAGCAGAATAAAAGGAAAATATTCAATAAGTAAATCTATGGATGAATTTTAATAGACTGCTTCCACAGGTGATCAATGGAGCATGTATAGAAACATCATAAGAACATACCCATATACGTTGCAAACGGGCGGGGAGTGCCGGTCTTCTGGCCGGCTCACTCCCTGCCTCATAGGTGCCAGGAAAGAGGGACCCTGGTGCACGGGGAACCATGTGGCGGCAAGCGCTGTTGCGCGCCAGCATTCAGGCTGGCCACCGCCACTCAATTGAGAACTACCATGACACAGAGATACAATGACACAATTGGCCCACTATGCTCCAGCTGCAGATGCCCACCCATGGACGTGTGTGAATCATTCAAACATGGAGAAACCCCTGGGAATACATGTCACGCAATGGGTCACTCTTGCTCCTGCCATTGAGAACCAGAAAGGTCCAGAGCCAGCGGAGGAGCAGCTGCTGAACAAGGACTCAGAGAACATGAGAATGCAGACTAAGCCCGAGGAGTCAGAGGTCCTGTGGACTGGGGTCATGAGAGCCGCTTGGAAGCTGTAAACCCGGAGGACCTTGCATAATACCTGCGGAGACTCCCTGGAAGCTATTCTTCCCCTGACAGTACAGGCTGTGGTGGAGCTCTGGAGAAATCTGCAGCAGGATTCCTTCTGCCTGTGCTGACAGTTGGGGAGAGGACAGTAACTAGTTGTGGGGTCCCAATGTGATGGGAGGCTGGGGAGAAAATGCTACAAAAAATGGCTTTTGCCCCACGCTCACTTGATTTTTGACAACCCTTAGGCTGTAACTACTTGTTAGATCCTTCTTGTGTATCTCTGTCTTCCTGAGAAACCACTTGGAAGATACCATCATGTATTACAGCAGCCATTGATATTTTTCTACTAATCTATCCATAACTCTGTAATGTTTGTATTGTTCCTATCCTATTTCATAAATGGATTCATGTTTATTATTATGTGTTTCCTACAACAACCATTGAGAATTATTGAATGATTATTCAGTAGGTCACTCATGTATAGCTCTATTTATTTTCTTTAGAAGCCACTTTGAAGATACCAAAGTATAGTACAACAACTATTGATAATCTCCTACCTCTTTTGTCTGTAACTCACTATTATTTGTCTATTTGTTTTCCTGAGAAACTATCTTGTAGATAACAATATGTAAAACAATAACCATTGATAATTTCCTACCACTTTGTCTGTAATTTGGTAAGCCCCCCCATTTTATGTTATCCTTCTTTTACTCTTTAAAAGTAAAAAAAGAACATATCCACAATCTTAATCAGAATTAAGATTAAAATTTGCTACATATTAAGTGTACTAAAAATGCATGACACATGATTTAAATATTCCCACTGACTATAACAAAATTTTTAAAAATCAGTTAATACAAAGGCACCCTAAAAGATCTTCAGGAAGCCAAAGGGTCCAAAGATTTTTAGACTTAAGTTTTACTTCACAGAAAGATTAATTCAATTTTCAAAACAGATTTAGCTGTAGTATTACACTGCCAATAATCAATTGCTTACCAAATTATCATTTTTCTGTCAGATGTTATTTTAAAGAAAATTAAGGGCTTGAAGGAGTAGGAATGCTGCAGAAAAGCACAGGGGCCCACATATCCTGTTTCTTAAACTTAATTGTTATATGTAAGGTTTTTCTATACAATCAGTGTGCACTGTAATAGCTTATATTAAAAGTCGATCAAGTTTGTCTAAAATGTTGACGTTATCGCCCACAGTTGAAGCAACTGTCCACATGAAAAGGGGTTGAATATGACTTTTGTAATTTAAAATATTGTTGAAAAACCAGTAGGGGGGCTGGGCACGGAGATACGTGGCCTGGGGGGCAGCCAGCTTTGCCAGCGCAGCGCCATGGCCACGGCTGCTGCCAGCACCATGGTGCAGAGGAGCAGAGGAGCGGCCACTGCCCGGTGAGGCTGCCAGGCCCGGCGCCTCGGAGCCCTCACCAGCGATGACTCACCGGCAGATTCAATGAGCATCTTTGACAAAGTCGAGTTCCCAGCTGCCCCGGGAACTCGTTAATCCACGGGGGCTCCTTGGCCTCCGTCATAACGGAGCCCAATGAGGCGTAGCCCCGAATGCAACTGCCAGGCAGAGAAGTCTTACTTGTTTCCCTGTCTCCTCCCTTGCTGTCATACTTCCCACGCAGGTGGGACAGTGACCTTACCCCATCCCTGACCTGCCCAGCACTGCACACCCACATCCCTCCCTGCAGAAACAGGAGCTGCGGCATCCGGGGTCTTGGGCTCCGGCCACCCCCTTTGGGAAGCACCTCGCAGTGTACAGACCTGCCTGGCTTCTTCAATGACTGCTCCAGCTACTGGCTGCCGGCACCCCTGTGGAAAAGGCTGGCTCCATCTGTGAGTATTAGGGTCTATTTGTCTGCACTTCCTAGACCAAGACATGGAGGCTTAAAGTCAAGCAACTTGGCCCGGGTCTTGCGGCTTAGGAGGGACGAAGCCAGCCTGGAACCCGTGACATCCGCCCCAGCCTTCCAACCCCAGGGCCGCCTCATGCGCTCTCTCCGGCCTGTGCGGTCAATGGTCTCACTGATGAATTGCAGTGGGATTAGTATGTAGTTGAACCAAACAAAACATCCTGAAGGCTTTCTAGCCCCTGTGCCAATTTGAGGTCGGGCAGAGGGAGCAGGATGGGCTGTGTGGAGGAAACGTCCCTCACCACCCTGAGCTGGGCACCGAGCAGCTGCCATGCTGTTCTGCAAGTTGGCAGGGGCTGTGACAGCTGGAGAGGGCCCCGGGGGTGCAGTTTTGAAGCAGGGAGAGATCAGTGCCAAGGGCTTTGCTGGGAAGGTGCGTTTACTGCCTGGAAACTGGGGGGCGCTGGGGGGGGTGCCAGGAAATAAGGAAAGGAGCAAGAATGTGTGGAGGGAAAGTGCCACTGGCTCCTAGGGACACTTCCTACCTCAGAGACACTGGGCACTAGCTGCTGTCCCCCAGATGGTCAGTAGGGGTTAGATGTGCTCATCTCACCAGCTGCAACAGGAAAACCTGAAAAATCCTTCCTGAGCAAGCAAACTAAGGTGCATCCCAGACCGGGAGGCATGGCCTGTCCCCATGGCCAGTCCCTTAGGGTGAGGGCAGCAGAACAAAGTGTAGCGCAAGGAAGATCCTTGGACACAGCCGTGCGCTGGGGTCAGAGCCAGGTGCTCAGGAAACAGAGGGAAGCAGGGGCTTCCACACA